CAGACCTGCTGTTACAGAAATGATGCCTTGCCGTGCTTGTCATGTTTTCTGACAATGTCAGAGGCAGATGGCAGGTACCAAGGGAGAAAACTGAGAGACACGAGGTGTGATTGCAAAGACAGTGTTTATTTTGAGACCTTGTGTTTGCTATTTGTTGTGTTTTTAAGGTTGTGATAAACGGTGGAGCAACGTCCAGCGGTGACCAGGATACAGAAGACACGGAGTTGATGGCCATCTATACCACAGAAAATGGCATAGCAGAGAAGGTATGTGGTGGTTCCCTTGTAGATGAGGACTCGTTCTTGCTGTCTCAGTTCATCCTTTGCCCACCCCAGTCCCACGTGGCTGTGATTTCCCATCTGAGCAGATGGTGCTGACTCCAGACTCAGGTCACGCTTGGCCCCATGACTGCTCTGGTCACACACTGTGGTTGCAGAACACGGGGCATGACTCAGGGGATGCAGCAGTGAATGCACTTTGACCTGGCACCAGAATTCATAATATGCAAGTTTTTGATTTCTTCATTCCCGCTGGCCTTTTGTGTGGTTTCCCTGGGAAGGTCACTGTGCTGTGCTCATCAGTTGTTAACCTCTTCTGCATTTCTCCAGGGAGACTGGTGGTGCTGAGCACCTCTAAAAGTGGGATCTTTCCCACTCTCCCAATTTCTTCCAAGCTCCAGCCTCATAAGATTAATTTTTCTAGTCCTTTTTCCAACTAGAGGCTGCTCATTATTATTGAGTGGCAGCTTTATGAATGAACTTGAGGTCATAAAAACCCTTGAACATTTTTCCTTAGGAAAACTATGATTCCCTATTCAGGGAGACCAGTTGAGGCCTCAAAGGACACCAGTTTGGTTGTGATTTTTCCAGCTTTTTACTCCATTCCATCATCCCCTAAACCTGTTCAATAATAATCCTGCCAGCTGAGATGGTTTGAATCTGAGCTTTTATTTAAAATAAGGACGAGGATTATGGTAAATCTGAACAGCACTTTCTGAAATGTATACTCCAGCTGGCTTTGTGGTGAAGCCTTGTCTCTGAAAAGCCTCAACTTGACCTAATTTTTCAAGTGTCCCAAGTGAAACAAGACCAAAGCTCTCCTGATTCCAAGAAAGAGCATCTTGGTGCTCATCTGTGCGAGGCTGTAACTTGTGGTGGGGCAAGGATGATACCAAGGGGTGCAGTGGGGGTTTTCCAACTCAGACACCAAAATTCTCCTCTGAATTTCAAATTTAAAATACCCCTAAATAGATGGTTCTCCAGAGGTCTTTTAGTGGTGCCTTTCAGAAGGATGCTGCGAACACCCGCATGTCTCAAACACATCTCTGTGACCATCGTGGTCGTGCTGATCTTCAGTGGACAGATTTTGGCAACTGTTGACCTGCATGTCTGATGGCTGATATTTGGAGCGTGCTTGGACTGGAGTGGAGAGAGACAATCTGATAAAGCCCTGAGCAAAAGGTGTTTGGGTGAAATTGTGCAACCAAGATAAGCGATCTCCAGACACCAAACCGTGTCTTCACGGCCTGGTTTTACCAAATGCCTGTTTTTTCTGCTGTCCAGTTGATCCATGTGATCAGAACTGTAAATGATGGGGAATAATTCACCTCAGAGAGACCCATGAGCTTTTGAGCAACCAAATCTACTTGACTTAAAGCTTTGTTGTGGTCACAGGGAATGAACAGGGTGGGGAGGCCCTGGCACAGGTTGCCCAGAGAAGCTGTGGCTGCCCCATCCCTGGAAGTGTCCAAGGCCAGGTTGGACAGGGCTTGGAGCAACCTGGCTAGTGGAAGGTGTCCCTGCCCATGGCAGGGGGTGGGATGAGATGGGCTTTAAGGTCCCTTCCAACCCAAACCATTCCATGATTCTGTGATTCTGTGTTTGATCTTGGCTTTCCTTTCTCTTGAGAGATCATTCCCTAAGAAAGACCTTTATAAAGGCCTTTTATATATTTATATATTATAAAAATATATTTTTTATATATTTTATAATTTAGCAAAGAGGCCTGAAATGTCCTTAATCACTGGAGGGTGCCCAGTGCTCACATTGGCTCCCAATATTTGTTAGCTGAGACAGTGAACTGTGAGCCCAAATGAGAAATAACTGTTGCTGCATCCCTGTAAAATAAACAATGTGATGTTGCTTAATAGAATCCTGGAATGGTTTGGGTTGGAAGGGACCTTAAAGCTCATCCAGTTCCACCCCCTGCCATGGGCAGGGACACCTTCCACTAGCCCAGGTTGCTCCGTTGTGGGTTCTTTATTGAAGGTATTTCTCCCAAGGGTTTGCTCCCCACACTTCATCAGTTTTCTCATCAGAGCCTTTGTCTTGCACTGCTGGGGTTTGTTTCTTTGCATTTTGCACTCGATTGTTGTGGGGTTTCTTCTTTCCCTCCAGCATTCTTTCTACAACTTTATCTGTCTCCTCCCCCGTTTATACTTACCAGAAAAATGAAAAAAAACCAAAAGCACAGCATGTTCCACCTTTGGCCAGTTAAAAATAATTAAAGGAGGAATTAGCCTGTGATCAGTATCTGGTCCAGGGAGGTGCAGCTCATTCCCAGCAGTTCCCTTGGCACACTTGGCAAACACCAGCTCTGAGTCAGGGATAGACCAGCAGGCACATGCTGGAGAAGCCAAAGGGCCAGTGACTGCCCAGTGAGTTACTGGGATGGCCAGGCCTCACCTGAATTCTGCACTTCCTCATCGTTCAGGCTTGGTCTGCTCAGGGTTTGACCAAGGTGAGAGTTCCCTGTCCAAAGGGATCTAAGTCTGGCTTTGGAAGGAATGAGGAGTATCCTGGTTGTTTTCTTTATACAACCCCTTTACTGTGTAGACATTGCCATGACATTTATGCCTTGGAAATTAAAAGTTCTTTTGTTAGAAGACCTGTAAGCTTCACTTTCTGAAGGAGAGCTTGAGTTGGTTGGCACTTGTTGATCTGTACCCAGAGAGACCTTTCTCCGTGCCACGGAGCAGCTCCCTTGTGCCTGCTCCTGCTTTTTGTTCTTTGCAAGACTAATTTAGGAATAATGTAATCCCAAGTGGAAAGCTCTGAAAGGACTAATACCCTTGTTGTGTGTGCTGTGGCCTTCCTGGTAGAAACAGGCCATTGCTTCTGCTTTCTGCTGCCCAAAGAAGAGGGAGAATAGACTAAGACTGACTAAACTAGGACTGACTAGGGTAGGATAGACTAGAATAGGATGGACTAGAAGGGCAAGTGGAAAAGTTAAGGAATGCACTTGATGCAACCTCATCAGTCCAGTGAAGAAAAATAAATGTTTGGCACCAAGTGGAACACTGGGACAGCTTCTGGATACTGGTCTGGCCAAGCTGGAAAAGAGCCCAAAAGATGGGTTTTCCAAAGTCCAGAGTCAGCAACCTGCACAAATCTCTGACTGGGTTTTAGACAACCTGGTGTCCTGTGTGGGAACAGCATGAACTTTGGCAGTCCCATTTCTGTCCGTCCTTGGCAGGGTTGTGGAGGTTTCTCAGTGCAGGGTGGTGGGTGTTTCATCCATTCATGTCCACAGCTGGTTCTCCTCAATCCCTGCTGCTCTTTGGGTGGCTCCAGCCAACCAGCACGGACGTGATTCCTGAAGCAAACAGTTATTTCTGCTGGTGCTTCCCTGTTCGTCCCTCAGGGGCAGATGGTGTAACACCCTCACTGTGCCCCTCAGAAAGTGTGTGGTGCCCTCTGGGTCACACTGTTGGATAAACACAGCAGGGCTGGTGAGTGAAGTCCTGCAGTGGAGCCTGTGGCCATGGA